TTATAAAGAAATAAATGAATGACAATAATAATCATAATAAAAATAATAAAACATACATAACAATAATAATAGTAGTAATAATACCGATGATAATTATAATTATAATTATGATAGTAATAGGAGTAGATTAATAATATGGGAAAGAGATAATGAGTGAGGGACTGACAAACAGGTAGAAAGAGAAAAAAAGGAGAAAAAAGATTCAATAAAAAAAACAAAAAGAAAATAAAAAGACAATGAACAAGAAACATACGGTAAAGACGACATAACCGAATGATAATAAAGGGGAGATATTTCAATTCATGATTCCTCTCCCTATGACTCTCTAATCCCTTTTCGTCTGTCTCACCCCCTCCTCTTTCTCCTTCCCCTCATGCCCTCCATTTCCCCTCCCACTCCCTTCGCCTTCCTTCCTTTCCCCTTCTCCTTCCCATCACACACTCTTCTTCCCGTCACCCTTCTCTTTCCCCTCACCTTTCTCCTTCCCATTACCTACTCCTCCTCCCCTCACCCCTCCTCTTCCCCTCACCCTTCTCCTTCCCTTCACCCTCTCCTGTTCCCCTAATCCTCCTCTTTCCCCTCACCCCTCCTCTTCGCCTCATCTTCTCCTTCTTCACACCTCTCCTCCCCTAACCCCTCCTCTTCCCCTCTTTCCTATTCTTCACTCTTCCCTCACCCACTCTCTTCCGCCTCACCCTTCTTCCCTTCACTCCCTTCTCTCTCCTCTTCCACTCACCTTCTCTTTCCCTCCCTGCCGCCTCTCCTCTTCCCCCTCATCCCTCCGTCTTCCCCTCACCCCTCTCTCCCCTCACTGCCTCCTCCGCTCTTCCCCCTCTCACGCACCCCTCCTCTTTCCCCCCCTCACCCCCTCACCCCTCTTCGCCCCTCACCCCCTCCCTTCCCCCCCTCTCCTCTTCCCCTCACTCTCCCCTCCCGCTCCTCCCCCTTCCCCCTCACCCTCTTCTTCCGGTCTTTCCTATTCCTTCACCTCCTCACCTTCTCAGCTCTTCCCCCCCTCAACCCCTTCTCCTTCCCCACCCCTCCTCTTCCCCTTCTCCTTCCCAACATCTATTCCTCTTCCCCGCCCGCTTCTCCTCTTCCCCCTCCCTCTCTTCCCCTCCCCCCTTCCTCCCTTCCATCCACCCTCTTCCTTCTTTCCCCCTCACCCCTTCGTCTTCCCCTTCACCCTCCTTCCCTATCCTCTCCTCTTCCCCTCACCCATCCTCTTCCCTCTCACCCTCTCCTCTATCCCCTCAGCACCTCCTCTTCACCCCTTCTCCTTCCATCACCCACTCCTTTTCCCCTTCACCCTTCCTTCTCTTCCCTCACCCTTCTCCTCTCCCCCCTCAACCCCTTCTCTTCCCCCTTCTCCTTCCAAAACTACTCCTCTTCCCCTCCCCCTCCCCTTCTCCTTCCCCCATCACCTACTCCTCTTCCCGTCATCCCCTCCTCTTCCCTTTCACCCCTCCTCTCCCCCTCCCCCCCTCCTCCTCTCCCCTCAACCCTTCTCCTTCCCCACCCCCCCAAAAAAAAAAAAAAACATCCAAGAACCACGTCTTACAAGAAACAACACATGGCATGGTACGCGTCGAAATCTCGGATCAGCACCTTCGTCCCACAAGCGATTCTAATCCTTATGTTAACAGGCGGTAAAGACGTGTTTTCCCGTGGAGATCTGTGGATTACAAGGGTGTTGTTCATAGATCACCTTCCCGTGGTGTGTGTGTGTGTGTGTGTGTGTGTGTGTGTGTGTGTGTGTGTGTGTGTGTGTGTGGTGTGTGTGTGTGTGTGTGAGTGAGTGTGAGTGAGTGTGAGTGAGTGAGTGAGTGAGTGAGTGAGTGAGTGAGTGAGTGAGTGAGTGAGTGAGTGAGTGAGTGAGTGTGTGATGTGAGTGTGTGAATGTGAGTGTGTGAATGTGAAGTGTGTGTGTGTGTGTGTGTGTGTGAGTGTGTGTGTGAGAGAGTGTGAGTGTGTGTGTGTGAGTGTGTGTGTGTGTGTGTGTGTGTGTGTGTGTGTGTGTGTGTGTGTGTGTGTGTGTGTGTGTGTGTGTGTGTGTGTGTGTGTGTGTGTGTGTGTGTGAGTGAGTGAGTGAGTGAGTGAGTGTGAGTGTGTGTGTGTGTGTGAGTGTGTGTGAGTGTGAGTGTGAGTGTGAGTGTGAGTGTGAGTGTGAGTGTGAGTGTGTGTGTTTACATTCTTGCTAATAATATATAATGAGAACGATTGGGTAAAATTGCAACTGATATGTTACATCGTGTCAGTATATAAAAAATACATGTAACACACAAACACACACACACACACACACACACGCACATATATTCACGTTTAGACACACACACTGAACTGAATCCCTTATCAATCAACAAAGCGATAAGCTGTTTCTTCTCCCCCCCCCCATCTCTCCTCCTCCTTCCTCCCTTCATATCTTCCCTCTCCCTCTCCCTTTCCACCTCCCTCAACCCTCTCCCCCTCCCCCAACCCTCTCCCCTTTCCCCCCCTCACCCTCTCCCCCCCTCCTCAACCCTCTCACTCCTCCCCTCACCCCTTCATCCTTCCCCTTTCCCCTTCCTCTCGCCTCTCCCCCCTCCCCCCCTCCACTCCCAAGCCACGATAACCGCCTCTAAATCACGCTTTGGAAGGTTCGAGAAAGGATGATTTGCTGGTCTAATAAGTCACACGTTGACAGCGAAACACATTTAAATCCAGAGACAAAGGGAAGGGGGAGGTGGAAGGGGGAGGGGAAGGGAGGGGAAGGGAAGGGGAGGGGGAGGGAGGGAGGGGAGGGGGGAGTGAGAGGGAGGGGGGGGAGGGGAGAGAGTGAAGGGAGGTTTCATGGAGGTTTCTGTGGTTATAGCTTTTTGAGAGAGGTAGTTATTTTTTCTCTCTCTGCCTCTGTCTGTCTGTTTGTATTTCTATCTGCCTCAGCCTCTCTCTATCTCTTCTTCCCTTTCCTATTTAATCCTCATCCCTCCCTCCCTCTCTCTCTCCCCCTCCCTCCCCACTTTCCTTCTTCCATGACCATATAATAACATCATCAATACAATGGTCCCCCTCTCGAAACCCAGACAACAGAAAACGGAAATTTGAGGTATGACTTCATCAATATTAATTTATTCCGTTCCATATCGATAAAGGAGTCATAAAGATCGAGAAATACGGTTAATATTTGTTTCGAAACAAATGACAGGAATACATATTGGAGATAAACATGGAGATGAAGCTAATAATAAAGCCTTTATGAGTTTTCCGAACGTAAGTTTGATTCATTCGGATTATCGTTTTTTTCTTCTATTTTCGGATTTATTACTTTTGTTGTTCTTAATATCATTATTATATTTATAAAAATTGTCATTGCCCTTTTAATTATCGTCATTACTATCGTTATTTTCATTATCATTATCATCATTATCCCTCCTCTTTAAAAACAGCAATGGCAACATACAAATAATGATCAAAATAAAAACACGCAAAAGGAATAATGACCCTAAACTCAAATAAAAGAAATATAGTCGAATAAAATAATTGATAAATAATAAATTACATAAAGATGAACAATAATAAATTACATAAATAATAATAATAATAAAAATTAATAATATTAATAAATTAATAAATTAATATAAATATATTAATAAATTAATATAAAATATAATAAATTAATAATAAAATAATTGATAAATAATAAATTACATAAAGATGATGGATAAATAAAGAAATGAACTATTCATTAGATAAACATAAACGTTTATACATAAATTGATTTATTAGTCAATAAAGATGCAATCAAGCAAGGAAATTAATAAATAAATCAATACATAAACAAACAATTTCGGAAACGAAATAGGTAAATAAACAACCAAATAAACAAATGAGTGAATAAATATGAATAAGCAAAAACAAACTCAAAAAAACAACAAACTAAAGATAATAAACAGATAGATGAATAAACAAAGAAAAAACTAAATAAAAACAAAATATAAACAAACAAACAAAAATATAAGCAAACCAAACATGTCAAACAAACACAAACAAGCAAACAAAAACAAAAAAATCAGAAAATCACCCTCCCCCTCTCCTTCAACAAAATAACAAAAAGGCCAATCAAACAAACAAAAACAATCAAACAATACAACCACCAAACAAAAACAACCAAAACACACACAAACAAAAAAACTAAAACAAAACAAACCACCTTAAAAACACACAAATCACCCCCTCCCCCCCCCATGCCTACCTTGTGCTTCATTCCCTCGGCGATGAGGTTTCTGAGGGAGGGACGCTTCCGGTCCTTCAACAAACACACAAAAAACAAATGAAACAACAAAAAACATAAAAAAACACACACAAAAAAAAAAAACATCAAAAAGCACAAAACGACCAAACACCATTTTTTATAATAATAATAATGACAATAATAATAATAATAATAATAATAAAATATAATATTATTAATAATTAATAATATTAATAATAATTAATAATAATATAATAATAACAATAATAATAATAATAATAATAACATAATAAATAACAATAACAATAATGATAATAATAATAATAATGATAAATCACTCCCTCCCCCCCCCCCTGCCTACCTTGTGCTTCATCCCTCGGCGGTGAGGTTGCTGAGGGAGGGCTCTTGCGGTCCTTCAACAAATAACAAAAAGACCAACAAATAAACAACAAAAAAAAAACAATCAAACGCCCAAAAACACACAACAAACAAATGAAACAACAAAAAAACACACACACACAAAAATATAAAAAAAAAAAAAAACCAAAAAACACAAAAACAACCAAAACACAATTTTAATAATAATAATAATAATAATAATAATTAAATAATAATAACAAATAATAATAAAATAATAATAATAATAATAATAAATAATAATAATAATTAAATTAATAATAATAATAATAATATAATAAAATAACAACATAAAAAAAAAATTAATGATAATAATGATAATGATTCCCCCCTTCCCCCCCTTGCCTAC